CACACACACACACACATTCATTGGAAAGCAAATCCAGAACTCTGACTAGTACATATTTGTAATACTTAATGGTCATATTCATCATAGGAAATTTGTACCTGAACATAATATATCTTCTATTTTTCCCGTTTACTTCCTCTCCTGTCAATTCTTCCCCTCTCCATTTACAAAACTGTTGTTTCCATTTTTTCCTTCTTTCTGTTTCTTCTTCCTTCCCTTCACTTTTTCCTCTTTTTCTTTCTCCCCTTCACATTTAATCTTGTTCTTCCCGCTTCCCTTACCCAGTCCCTGTGGGAATTGAACACTGGGAATCCTGAACCCACTGGGAATTGAACACTGTGAACCAATACACAAATGCTCTAAATCCTGAGTCCTGAGTCCATAGAATTACATATGACCATACAAAAAAAGAAAAAAAGAAAAGAAAGAAAGAAAAGTGCTGGCCAAATAGCTCAGGGGATTAAAGCGCCTTCTCAGGCAAACACAGAGGCCAGGAGTTTGATCCCCATGCCTGCTGTGCCGGCCCCACCCCTGGGGTGCGCTGAGACAGCAATTGAGACTGGGTGTGATGGTACATGCCTGTAATCCCAACTTTTGGGAGGCTGTAAACAGGAGAATCAATATGAATCCAATCTAGTAGTGAGACCCTGAACACTCTTTATCATGTTGGCATTCATTCTCATGTGACCTTGAAACAGTCACTTCTCCCTGAACCACTTTTTCCCCCTAGCAAAATGAATAAGTGAGACTAAATCAGTCAGTTTAAACCTGGGAAATTTAGAAAACATTCCTAGGCCCTCACAATCCTATTAAAAATTCTGAAACATTTTGATGCTCTATGGTCTTTTATCAGGGATCTTAAGTCAGAGATAATCATACCCCTTTGGATATATGAATAATCCAAGAGGTATACAGGTATAATTCTAAAGGAATCAGTTTTGAAGTCCTCAACTTTCTTATATATTTTGTGCTAAAGCCTGTCTCTCTGGAAATATGCTGTAAGTAATTACTTTTGTCATATACCTTTTACCATCATCCATCACCTACTTTATGAAAGAATCATACTATGATACATTGCCTTGAAATGTGAAAACCTCCAGGAGATGAATTCAAAGACGATTCAAATAATGGTTTGTTAGTTTCAGTTAACTGAGGTTCTTAACTCAGTCCTAATCTACCTCATTAAGAAATATATTTTTGGCTAGTCTAGTCCCAGCACTATGGGAAACTAAGGCAGGAGTATCTCAAGTTTGAACCTGGCCTGGACATTTAGTGAATTATTGAGACTGTCTCAAATGGGTGGCAGTCTGGGTATGTAGCTCAGTGTGAAGACTGTGGGTTGAATCACCACTCAAATGAATTTTGGAGTGGGGTGGGTGTTGGTAGAGCACTTCCTTGGCATTTATAAGGGTCTGGGTTCAATCTCTGACTCTTAGAAAAAGGGGAAAAGGCAGAAAAGTTTTCTAATAATACGTAATTCTTTGTTTAGTAATTATCAAATTTTATAAGGTATGTTATTGATTAATTATGCATGAATATCTACCATCAGAATATATCAAAATAAAACATATACTAAGAGGATTAGAGCCTTCTGGTCACAAAAACTTTGAAAACTTATTTTTAATTTTATTTCAGCAAAATAGGATGATCGATAAAAGAGTTCTTAAAATAAAAATCCATTAAGATTAAACTCAGTGAAAGAAGTGGAATAACAATAAAATTTCCAAATGGAAAAGGATAAACATATAATTTTCAACTATTAAGGAGGATTTTATAATGTTTTAAATGACAGTTCAAGTTATTACATTGGATATCTCTAAAAGAGTGCTATAAAAGTTTGTTTTTAAAATCAGTATTCACAAAGCACCAGAATGACAGTTAACAAGGTACAAATGTAGATTGTGAGTTCTTTGCCCCCAATATTATAATGTAGACAATTAGAAATATGGGTTTAGAATTTAGAGAAGATAACTAATATCCTAATACTCATATAGTATCAGTTTAAGCTTCTGACTTCAAAATTTAGATATAAAAATTTAATGATACTTTAAATTAATTTAATTTTCATTTTAATTTAAATATATCAGTCAAAATATGTGAAATATGTTCATTTTCTCTCCGCTTATCTCTTGGCCTTTTTGAAAGCATACAATTAGCTACTATGGAGGATATTAGGGAAATGGATAGGAGGAAGGATGCTTTTTTCAACTATTTCCAGGTATTCTTTAGCCACATGCATAACCTTTCATTTGTTTTTAAATATCACCTCTTTCATGTTTTCTTGAGTAAACAAAAGAAACTTGTTTACTCACATAGTTCATATTAATTCCATGTGCCATGAAATGCAAAACCTATTTGTTTTGTTTTCCACTCAATGTTTTCCTTCTCTTTTTTCCTTTTTTCTTACTTCCATACTTATCTGTGATTGGGGTGGAGAGTTTTCAACACTGTTATTATCCCTAGGCTTAAAAAGATTGCTACCCTACTCAAAATACATAATGAGAATGTCTTAGAAAGGAGTGCAGCCTCAAGCAAAAAGTATTAATATGATATTGGGAAGACTCTGTATGATGTTATACACAGTAAACTACAAAATATTCTTTGTACAACACCATTGTTTATGATGCATCACTGCTTTAAAAACAACTTTGGAAAAAAATAAATAAAAATTAAAAAATGAAAAAAACTCTGGGAAGTATCTAATGGGCTACAGCAATAAATGTCAGTGCAAATTACAAAATGCATCCTGATTGTAGAAATTCTAAAATATGAATAAATATTAGATTTTAAGAAATAAAACATATTTATTATCTAAGAAATGTGGGAATGTTTCTTTTTGAAAGACTCTTTGATATTATTTTAAAGGAAACTAAACTATCAGCATGATGAGGTCTTTCATCTTTTTCTTCCCGTTTCTTCTCTCTCAGGGACGTCTGGCAGCTGCCTTCGTCGCTTCAGTACCATGCCTTTCATGTTCTGCAACATCAATAATGTTTGCAACTTTGCTTCAAGAAATGACTATTCATACTGGCTTTCTACTCCAGAGCCTATGCCAATGAACATGGAACCCCTGAAGGGTCAGAGCATCCAGCCATTCATCAGTCGGTGAGATATTGGTTTAGCTTTGTTTTGTACCAATCATCCAGTTAGTTTAGCTGGTCAGAAATCAGACTAAAGCTAGTAATCTGCCGATATTCCTTGCAGGTTAAGTAGACAAGGGTTTGGCTTTTAATGTTCAATTAAGTGTTAACTCTTATTTTGAGGAAATTTGATTTTGACCAGATTCTGCTATACATAGTATAATATTACAAAGAACTCACAATCATTGGGCAAATATATCTGATGTATAACAAGTTTGGGTTAAGTGCTGTAGTAGAACAGATAAAAATGTTATAAAAGCATGGGAAAAGTGATATAGTGCTTAATTTTACAGGGAGCAATCTGTGATGAATATATGAAACAAATGTGTTTTAAATTGGCTTGCTCTTGATTGACTAAAAGGACTGGATCCACAAGCACTTATAAAGGAGAAAGACATCTAGGTAGAGAAAATGAGAATAAGTAATAAATAAATATGTCTAGAATGTACTAATTAAAGATTGCAGAAGAGTGTAAAGACTGGAAAGGCAGCTTGGACTAGCTTTTAGTTAAGTCAAATGGTAGAATTCTTTCAGTGACAGTTTGTAGTTTTGAATTTATGTGCTATACTATGAGTCCCCATGGTTTAGTATACTTCAGGAAAGATTAAAAAAATCAGTGTGTAGCAGATTATAGAAAAGATAGTCCCAAGGCAGAGAGACTAGATATTTTGAGGAGTATTATATTAGTTCTGATGTGAATGGATTGGATCTCACATTGGGTCACATGTATTACATTATTCCAATTAACAGACATTGACAGTTGATTGGAATTGGGAAGGAGAAAGAGATACTTGGAGTTTGACACATGAGTAATTTAGAGGAGGATAGCACCAATAACCAGTAAGAGTCTTTTTTTGTGGAACAGGGATTGAACTCGGGCCCTTGCACTTGCCAGGGAAGCACTTATTCTACTAAGCCATCCTGCTGGCCCAGATTTTGTCATCTTGGAATGCTAGTTTAACTCATCTCCTAGAAATGGTAGGTAGTGCTACATCTGTTTTGATAATGAGACAGGGTTCTAGGAGCTATGAAGGATGAGTCACTGAAAAATCTACCTTTTTTGACATTTAATCTAAGCATGAAAACTTCAGTAGCAAATTCGTACCTGGAAATGGCAGAAAGAGAGACAGAGAAAGGAAGAGGAGGAAGAGAGAGGCAGAAAGAGAAAAAAAGAGGAAAAGAAAGAGAATGGGAGAGAGGAAAAGGGGAGAAATGAGAGAAGAGGTTTTTATCAGTTTCAATTTTGGGGAGTAAACTATTCTCTAAATATATTATATAGATTAACTGTGATAAATTGGCCTGAGTCATATTCAAGAAATTCACTCATATTTTTTATTAAAGGCTTATAGTTTTATCTTTATTCACTTCATTGCTGTTTTAGCTGATTTGATAGACTCAACAAATCTCCAAGTGCCTGAGTACTTGCCCAGAATTCTTGATATGCTGCGCTTACCTAGATATGGCCAGGTAGTCGATGAATATTCCTTCGACCAAGAATAAAGTGTGGAAATTAAGAAAATGTCTACTATCTTTTCCAGTTTATCAAGCATTGCTCTTACCACAGTTGCAGCATTACCAAATATCTACCTTCCATTCGTGCAGCTTGACATCAAACATTATGTGGAATATGCAAAGTCAAAGTGTTTTCAGCTATGGCATTGACCATAGCATGTATGCATATAGATTTAGGAAAGTTTGGAAAAATTGCTATACAAGTGATTCTACTTTTTTTGAAAATGTTTACATTTAGTGTATAGTTACATATTTTTGGAGACAATACTTATACAAAAGCAATACATAAAGGGCATTCTGTTCTTTGCTGAGCCTTAAAGACACCTTAGTGGGCCTTTATACCAGGAACGCTTGAAAGAAGAGGGCTTTACTCATACTCTCACTCCTCACACTCATTCTGTTCTCTCTCTTTCTCTTTAACAGATGTGTAGTATGTGAAGCTCCAGCTATGGTGATTGCAGTTCACAGTCAGACCATCCAGATTCCTCATTGTCCTCAGGGATGGGAGTCTCTGTGGATTGGTTATTCCTTTATGATGGTATGAAGCATATTTTGTTGCCTTTGTCTTCATAGCTGACTCTCCATCGTACGTGCATTTCTCCCTAATTTGAGGAATTTATGTCACTTCTATATAGTAAGAATCTTAAGGTTCACAGAGTTTTTGTCTAAGCACTGTTTCCCCTCACACATCTTTTATACATATTTTCATAATCTACCTATTGTTTCTAATAACTATTCTTGTTGGGAATGCTGTTCTTTTAGTTCTCGTCCTAGTCCCATTCACTGGATTTGAGTTTTTGGCTAAGCAAGGAACACATTATTGAATAATTACTAAGATATTATGGCACCTGAGTATAATGCCAGATTTTTCTTTGTCTTTTCTAGCATACAAGTGCAGGGGCAGAGGGTTCAGGACAAGCACTGGCCTCACCAGGTTCCTGTTTGGAAGAGTTTCGTTCTGCTCCCTTCATTGAATGCCATGGACTAGGAACTTGTAACTACTATGCCAACTCCTACAGCTTTTGGCTGGCAACTGTAGATGTGTTGGACATGTTCAGGTAAGGTGCTATGCTTCATTTCATGTCCAAAGCTTCCTTCAGTGATGTCAAGGAAGGCAGAAGCAATTCATGGATGATTTATCCCTGGCATATTGTTAGGAATATATTGGACTGAGTCTTTTATTCTTGGTTGTTTTCCTCAAGGTCCTAAATCAGGTTTGAAAAACAGACATAAGTGATATTGAGTAAATAGGAATCCTCCAATAACAAAACAGACAGAGATAGAACGGTGAGAGGACCTGCTCAATCATAAAAGTCAGCAGCTGTCTTACTAGGATGAGAGCACCTCAGAAATTGAGGCTGCCCTTTGTGTTCGCTCCTCCAATCCAATGAACACTTTTCAAAGATGTTTTAAAGATTCTGATTTATGGGTTTGAATGAGTAAAACCATACGCAGTACACATACCTCAGGATACTTCAATCTATTGAAATTTTTTCTAGTTAGATTGATTTATTTTTTAATTAGTGTATGTTTTCAGTACATAATGATTACTTTTATCGTGGGGGGTTGGGACATGGTCAGAACACATCTTAATTCTTTTTTCATTCTATGCCCCCCATTTCTCCCTGCACCTTATGTGTTAGTTCCTTTCCCATTTACAATTTCCATTCCTTTCTTTCTTTTTTGCTTCTCTTCCCATTTGAAAAAGATCTCCCTACTTCCTATTATGTATCTTTTACTTTGCTCTTCATTTGCATTTTGGGTTTCTCATGTAAGAACAATCATTAAATATTTAAGTTTTGTGTGTGATTTATTTCACTTAATATGATGGTCTCAAGATGCATCCTTGAATGGAGTACTAGACTAGAATGCCTTATTATTTCTTTATATAGTCTTCGGTTGATGGACATAGTCTCAGATGTAACTATTATAAATTGTGCTACTTTAACCATGAGTATATATGTATCCTCTTAATGACTATATCTCTCGCAGGATTGTTTAATCTGTTGGTTCCTTTGAATTATCATTACTTGACTTATTTTTCCATGATATTTGTCATGTGTCAGTCGTTAGTTGTCTAAACCTCTTTCCTTATATGAATATTAGAAAAAGGTATTGACAAAGAGAAGGAAAAATAAATATATGTAAACATAATAATGGCAGAGAGAACATATACTAAAATACCTATGA